ATGATCCTGGAGTCCCGGGATCGAGTCCCGCATCGGGCTCCCTGCTCGGCGGGGGGTCTGCTTCTCCCTCTGACCCTCCTCACTCTCATGTGCTCTCTCTCATTCTCTCTCTCAAATAAATAAATAAAATCTTTAAAAAAAATTATACATGCTCCACTTTATTTACATGCTGCTTTATTTGTCTCCAAACCCCTTATCATTATCTGTGAAATTAGTTTTCAAATATTTGAACGGGTTCTCTAACTATAGCCAGTAGGGGTTGACTCTTAATAGCCTACAGATTTAAGTCCACATTCCTTAGTATGGAGTTCAAGATCTTTTACAATCCGGTCTTCCTAGTTTCACCTCTAGCTCCATACTGCTTCTGTCACCTGCACGATCTTTCCTGCCTCACCTAAGCCCCCTCCTTCTTCCCCCACTACCTGACCACACCTGTTCGTCCTGCACTCATTCCCCAGCGTAATGGTTAGAACAGGAATGAGGCAGAACTGTGCTTGAGCCTAGCTTCTCAGCTTACTACCCATGTGATCTTAGACACATTCTTTAATTACTGAGTTCTTTGGTTTCTTTCTCTGTGAAAACAGTGTAACTGTCTTATAAAGTCGTAATGAAAGGAGGTAATGCTTAAGTGCCTGGCACAGAATTAGCGTTTCTCTTTATCCTTCACCAACTAGACCATCTTATCTTCCATTCCTGAAACACGAGGGGCAGTCACTCCTTAATTAGACTGGTGGATCATTGTCAGTCTAGAGAATACTCTTCTGTGCCACACAAATCTGTCATTGGCTTTGACTTTTCACATTATTTTTATCAGGTTCTTGGATAAAACATTGCAAGTGAACTAGTGTTTTTCCAGCTTAAGGTCACTCAGCTAGTAAGTGACAGGGTCCACCCAGGTCCACATGACTCAATAACTCCTACTACCCTGTAATGATGATAGAACTGACAGCAGAGGAATAAACTGATAGTTTGAATAACAGAGTCTGGTTTCGTTTTTATTGTGGTAATCTGAAATGGTCTAAAACAAACCTAATGTGTTTTTAGGGTGCGTTAACAGAAGTATGGTTAAAATCAAGAAAAATATTAGTCTGGAGTATAGAAGGTACTCAATCAATATTTTTTTGAATCGTATTGAGTTGTCAGTCCACAGTTGGAATATTGTGTTCCATTCTTGGTGCCCCAGGTTAAGAGTTGCTCTGGCAAACCAGACTTGGGGAGACTTAGCCAATGAACACTCTTGAAACCACATCAGATGAGGAAGGGTTGAAAGAAGTGTGGGTGTTGAATCTGGTTGGGGAATGGCTAAAAGGGTTGGAATGGACCAGCTTTTTCCAAATATTTCAAAACTGATTGAGGAAGAGGGGTTAACATGTTCTATGAAGCTAGAAGGCAGAACCAGGGCCAGCATCTATGAGGAAATTGATTTTTTCCTAGAAGGAAGACTGAAGTGTGCTTTCTAACAGTAGAACAGAACAATAGGGCTAGCATGGTTCACAGGAGTAAACTTCCTGTGATTGGAGATATTCAGATAGAATGTTTTATGGGGATATATGTATCAGGTGGGAGATCAGACTTTTCTAGCTCAAGAAAATTTGATTAATCTCTGTTTATTTTTATCTCAGGAGCTACACTGTAAATTTCCCGGGGTCAAGGATAGGTCCCTTTCTTCTGTATCTCCCAAAGCTTCTTGAGGATGATTCTATTTTTTATTTCTACATCTTCCACGTAAGACTTTTTTAAAAAAAATAAATAAACCTTCTAATCTTCTGCCTCACCTCCTCTACCATCTCCACCCCAAAACCCCAACAATCTAAGCCTGAGATAGATAGAGAGTATAGATATCAATTCTAATATTCTCAATCTGGAAGTCCCTTTAGTCGGTCATCTAGATTTCTGAG